CGCCCCGCCCCCACCCTCTAGATCTCTGCCAGCATCACTAATACTTGACAGAAGAGGGACAGGTGTCAAGCTTCTGTCATCCCAATGTCGTGTGCGACATGACCAGCCATTCTGTGATCCCGTCCAAAGGTGGTCTCTCTGTGCTGTACTTTCAACTCCTGATGACCTCCAATACGCAGTTTCATTCTCCAGGGAGGACAGATTCTCCGGTTTATCTGGGAAACTGGGTTGAACCATCTTTAGGAATGATCGACCATTTTCAAAGTTTGCATCACACAAACTAAATAAAAACATCACGGGCTGGCCAGATAGTTCAGTGGACTAAAGCGCCTGCTTAGCAGAACACAGTGGAGAGCACAGTGGCTGAGGCTAGATCCAAGGATTGCCGTTCCGCCCCCCCCCCCCACCGGGCGCGCTGAAACAGAGATTGAGACTGGGCGTGGTGGCGCTCTTGTCATCCCAGAGTTTGGGAGACTGAATACAGGCAGACCACTAGAGTCAGATCTACGTAGTGAGACCCTGTACATCCGGTAGACCCTGTACTAAATACAAAGTAATAAATAAATAAACATTGCGTTTCCCATAACGTGGCTCCTGGGTTGCTTTTCATCGGTTCCCTCCTGTGCAGCACCCTGCAGCCACCTCTGATGGGTGATTTAGGAAAGCGGCACGATGATTGCTGCCGTCTGACCCGGGAGGAGTCCCTCACTACAATCCCACCAGGGGGCACCCTGATCTTGAACGCTTGCCCTGCAGGACCGTGAGCAGCGAAGTTCAGTGGTTTACTAGCTTTCTGGCCTCGCTTGTTAGGGCGGTCTTACTGGCCAAGGGCCTTTCCACAAGCGTGGCTCCTTGCCAGCCAGCTCTTGCATTAATGTTACCTTCTTGAAGTGCCTTCTGCTGTGCGCTGAATGCGAGCCACCCCTGGGGCCCGTCATCTCGCACATGCTAGTTTCTTGATGCCGCATGCATTGCTACTTTCAATGAACTCCTAGGATGGCTGGGCAACCTGGTTCTTCTGTACCCAGTATCACCACTAGAATGTGAGCGCCTCGGCGCTGATTGCTAGCTCTGGGCCCAGAGTCTAGCACAGTGCCAGGAGCCAGGTTGGCAAGCAATATCGAGCAATACTTACTGCAAGAGTGCCTCACACAAATTACCAGCATCGATTGCCCTACTTTGCTCCCTCTTTTGTCCCCATGGGACAGGCCAGGGTTGTAAATGCCTTCCCTACCTACATTGCTCATCCAAAGATCCCCAGATCAGGGAGGTGGGCCAGGGACCGGTCTTCAGGGACTGCCCACCTTGTTGTCCCTGCTTGGGTTTACTTGGCCCATTTCACACATACACCTGCCCCCCCCCCCCTTAGGGAACACCCACGTATTTGGGAAGCAAGCAATGAATGGCAGCGTCTGTCTGCAGTAGGCGGAGCTCAAAAATGAGGACCCTGGATGGAGAAAGAGTTTTAAACAGACAAATAAATACACTTTAGCTGTGGCTGAAGGACGGAAGGAAAATCAGCCCAGATGGTAAGAGTGGGAAGACAGCACTAGACAGAAGGAAGGCGCCCGGTTGAACCGGAGAAGTAGGGTACAGCTTAGTGCATTTGGGAAAATGCTGGAAGACCCAAAAAATGGGCAGAGGTGAGGGAGAATTGGTGCTGCTGAAGTGAGCAGTGCCAGATGGCTGAGGCACGTGACCTGCTGCGGGGGGGGGAACTCTCCAGGAAACAAAAGGGAATGTGAGCCAGCGAATTCAGGCATCCAAGAGGCGCTGGCCGGTTGGCCTGAGGAGCGCCAAGGTTTTGGGCGACTGAGGAAAAGCGGAAGCAGAACAAGAGAGACGTCCCTTTCTGCTTCCTAGTTATTTTTGTCTTGTCTCTTAACCTCTTCACCAGCTTGCACCACGCTTTAATTAACCTGTTCAAGGAAACCTTTTCATTCGTTGACCAAATTCACTTGTTTCATTTTCTAATTCATAAATTTCTGCTTTTACCTTTTTTTGTTTGTTTTGTTTCTTTTTCTTGGAGTTGATCATTTTGCATTTTTTTCTTACTTCTTAAGTTGAATTTACATTTCTTCATGTTTCCTTTCATAAAATGTTCATTTTGCAAACACACACACACACACACACACACACACACAGGGTCATTTTTTTTCCCCTAAAAAACTCAAAACACACAAAGAAGCAAGGACACCTCAAACTACAGCAAACCCTATTTGTAGACAGGGTAAAAATGATCATTTCAGCCGCTGTTGAAAACATTGAAACAGATAATAGGATGTGTAGAGATATCATTTTACAAAATATGGTCATGCTAACTGTACAAACAAAAGTAAATGAAATTTTAAGAAAAAAAAATCTGAAGTGGAGGTACAAGAATTTTTATATTTAGATTTTCCAGACATTTTTTCCAGAAAAGATTAGTTTCTGAAAGAGCTCTTTAGGGCCGGGGAGATGACTCAGTAGAATAAGTGCTTCCTGGCGAGTGCGAGGGCCAGAGTTCAATCCCCGGTTCCACCAAAAAAAAAAAAAAAGAGCTCTTTAAAGAAAAAAATCATAAAATGAAATTGACATCATTATATTGCTAATGATTTCAACCTTTAACTGTATGTTTTTGTTTCCTGGTTAAGAAGAATGAAGAAGTTATATCACGTATGTGTTTTCCTATCCTCACTCATGAATTTTATACATTTTATTACTATTTTTATTTTGTCAGGCTCTTCGACTTATATATTCTGCTTGGTTACTATGAATTCTGCTTGGTAACCACACAATTTAGTCTTCCTCTTATAAGTGGGTATTTAAAGAGCTTTGGTGTCAAACAGCCACCTTCTTCCCATGTCTTTCTCATTCATGAATTTAAATATTTCAATCATCTCTTCCTTGTTTGGTTTGAGTTCTTGCAGGAAAGTTTTTCTCTGTTTGGTGTACTGGGGGTTGAGTTCAGAGTGCTGAACTATGCCCTCAGCCCATTCCACCCTACCTTATATTTTGAGACAGGGTCTCACTAAGTTGCCCCGGCTGGCCTCCAACTTCTGAACATCTATATCAGTCTCCTGAGTAGCCCAGGTAAAGTTTTTTTTAAGCTTGGACTCATAGTGATCCTCCTGTCTCAGCCTCCCTAGTACTGGGATTACAGACTTGCACCACCACGCCCAGTGTCAGTGGCTGGCTCGGCGCAGGGCCTGCATGGTGTGCAGAACTGGGGATGGAACGCAGGCGCTTAGAACGCCAAGCTGTCTCCCCAGCCAGCCCAGTAAATTTTTAGAAAGTTTCCACTGCCTTGAGTTTTTCTGTTCTTGAGAACATCTGTTTCCTACGTACATGAATATTATCGGGCTAATTCTAAAATGCACGGATCATACTTTCTTTCCATCTAAGGACTGCAGGTATTCCTCTCGGCCTTTGGAATGGAGTGTGCACATGGAAAAAGTCCTGAGAACAAGTTTTCTCCTCACGTCATGCATTATATTTGCTCTCTATTGCTACAGAACCAACTACCGCCAAAGCGAGCAGCAGAAAGCAGCGAACACTAATTAACTCACAGTTGCAGTGAGTCAGAAAGGTGGAAGCTGATTATCTAGATGACTGCGAAGCTGTTAATCTATGGAATAGGACGAGGGAACGCTTCTGCGATGGCTCAGTATGACTGGTAACTGGGTTGGTTAGAGAGCTGTGTAGGAGACTGGTGAAGTGTGTTTCCCGGTGTGTCGGGGTGGGTCACAGATGACCTTGGGAACTGCGTCTGCTCCCTGACACCATCCTCCTGGCTCTTTCCAGACTCTTTCCTGGATGCCATGTAAAGAGCAGCTTTCCTTTTCTGCACTCTTTCACCATGCTGTGTCTGCCTAGGACTGAACCCTCTGAAACCATGAGCAAAAATAGGCCTTCTCTTCTTTACGTTGTGTATGTCAGTGTTCTTGTCTCAGCAATGAGAAAGCTGACTAACAGCTTCTGTGTTGACACGTGGGACTGTGGATAGGCCTCAGGCCATTCTGTGGAATTCTCTGTCAGGGTCCTCTTTGCAGGTGAATTTCAAGGCCAGAATCCACATCATTTTATGACTGAACTTCAGAAGTAACATCCCATCACCATGCTGCATTCGGTTACTTACCTAGAGGTCGTTATGTCCAGCACGTACTCAAGGAAAGGAAAATTAAGCTTTACCTCTTGAGGAGAAGAGTATCAAAGAAGTTAAGGTCACACCTCTGAAACCACAACACACCATGACTTATTTTTCTTATTTTTATAAATACATTCTGCTCTTTTTTATTTTATTTTTATTTTATTTATTTATTTATTTTTTTTTTGGTGGTACCGAGGATAGAACTCAGGACTTTGAGCTTGCCAGGCAAGCATTTATTCCACTGAGCTATCTCTCCAGTCTCCTATTTTTTCTTATTTAAAAGAAATGTTGGCTGGGGAGATGGCTCAGTGGAATAAGTGCTTTCTTGGCAAGCTCAAGGGCCTGAGTTCAATCCCTGGTTCCACCAAAAAATAAAAAAATAAAAGAAATGTTATCTTTTTTTATTACCCTTGAAATCTGGAAACTTCACTCAGCTATGCCTTGAGGTAATTCTACTAATAGCCATCCTTTGGTTACAAAGAGAAGCTATATAAAGTAAAATAAATTCCCTACAAGCAAAGATAAGAAAAAGAAGGCAACTGAATGTTTTGTAACATCACTGGGTGACTGGATCAGGTCCTACCTGAAAACTGATTTGTATTTGTACAGTTGTGGTCTAGTAAATTCCCTTAATTGCTTATGCCC